ACTTAGAAATGTTATTATCATTCCACTTGTAACTATCGTTGCGAAATAAAAGTCGTTTGGTTCTTGGATTCACTTTTTCGTGTCAAATTGCACGCCATAGCAGGTCGTCCTTCCACGAGACGAGTCAATAAAAACCGCAAATGTTATCCTTCAGTTAAATAAATTTCACCTCTATAATGATACAGAATCTTAGTACTCATATTTTCTTCTTTTCCTGTTTTGAGAGCATTTTCAATTACAAATTCAACCAATAATTTTCTTTGTAATAAAGTCTCGTATTCATTCCAAGTTCGCTGGTTCATCTGTGTGTTATCACTAATTATTATATGATATGATCTATTTCAGGGTCTTGTCAAGGTATTTTTAGAACTGCCTTCTATCACTGCCGTTTTATAATGTTTGCTGAGAGCTGTACATAATTAGAAGCCCAAAATGGTAGATTGCGAGGTTCGTCTTTACTTCCTTTTAGGAGCAGCTACATATTATTCCTGTTTCGAGCAGGTATCTCTGTGAATGTAGGGCTTTTGTCACTGGGAAATTATTGACCCAGGAAATTTTCATAAAACGTTGGCGCACTGTTGTGTGGAGTATAAGTTTATGATTAAGGTTATTTTGAAAGCGGAAGATATTGCTCATGTTCTTCGCGATGGTGTGGCGCTATTGCCTGGATCTCGTGATCGTACGGGTCGTGCAATCATAATTTTCCCTCCGAAGGAGCATCAACTGAATCCGGACAATATTAGGAATATCCTTCGATACCTGCACACCGTGACAGCGTTAGTTTTTTTTATCAAGTTTTTTGTTAAGTATTACTTTACATCGTCTTGTGAGTAATTACTTCATTGACCTTTCTTCTTTTTTCAAGCTTTCTTTGGTTCTCGTTCTTATATTGGCATTTAAGTGACGACGCTAGGGAGCTCGGTTTCACTGTGATCATAGATATGCGTGGGAAGCACGCGTCAAATAACGTACGACCTATCCTGAAATCCATTAATGTGAGGATGTTTGCATATTTCTTGTTTCCATTTTTCACATTCTTAGCCACAATATTTAAGCATCTCTGTGAGACGACAAATGGGCTTATTATCATGGTCTTAATAATTAAACCGGACACTTTTTGGGAGAAGCAAAAGGCCAACATGCTTCTGGGATCTTGGAGTTTTGAGGTTTGCCGATTTTCTTAGTATTTTACACTATTACTCGAATTTATAATTTCATCAAATTAGCCTATACTTTGACTGATCTTTGCCAGGGAGTATTTTTGGCAGCGCTTTTTTTTATATAAATCCCCTTCACCTAGTTAGGAAAACAGGGTCTCAGAAGTTTTAGTAGGACACTTTCTGAGTTGATGATCTGGGTTCTTCT